ACTGGCTCTCCACTCGCTCTCGCAGCGCCAGGGCTGTCCGCGGCGGGCCTGTCTGTGTGCTCGCAGCTCCCTTCAGGTGTCGCTGCTGCACTGGCTTTTCACATTGGTACCCACCCACATGTCGCGTCATGACAGTGCGTTGAGGCGAGGGCCGGCACTGGACCACGTCCGGAGCAGCGACACACCGTAGCGGCGCCATCGACAGGCCCCGCGCTGATCAAACCACGCCAGGCGAGCCGCCTTCGCGCTCGTCCGGCGATAGCAGTAGCCCGGCCCTTATCGCAAAATGCAATCGACGTGGCGCTCTTCTTCCGCTGCACCCTAGCCCTAGCCCTAGCCCGCGCCCGTAGCTCAATTCAACGGTTGCAGCCTGCTGGCGCCGGGCGTTGTGCAAAGGGGGGAGGGGGGTGCCGCTGTTGAGGCCTGCTCCGTCCGCCCGCTGTCCGCTGCCTCCGCCCTGGGCGCCCGCTACCTTTATTGCCTGTGACGCCGCCATTAAAAAAACCTATCCAAGCATGTAGTGAGTGCATGTACTCGGTGCTCGACAGCCGGCTGCCTTGCGTGCTAGTGCCACGGCCTGCATGGCTGCCACTCGTCGACAAATGGGCCGTTGGCTGCTGCACGCGGGCGAGGCCCTCCAAGCAAAACCATCACGGCATGACGACACTGCGGTAAGAAAAGCGCGCTACCACAGCCGGTGTAGACCCCAGTAGCCAGTGAGCTATATTAGACTGCCCAGTTTCCAAGTTTGGGCGGTTGGGTGTTGAGCAGCTGGCAAATGAGAGGCTCTGCAGAAGCAAGAAATCGGCACTCCGGCCGGGAGGCTGTGCTCGTCCTCATTCTTACGCCCACTGCCACTCCTTGTAGATCCGGTTTTCTCCCCTTCTCTTCCATGGACACTCGTCACGCTAGAGTAGCTCGGCTCCTACTGTGCACCAAGTACATACACCTTCTTTTACCGCTGCACCGTAAAATGCATCGACAACCACTGGCGCTCCCTCTAGCCCGCGCTCGTCCCTTTGCTCTCCTTACATAACACCTGCGCTACTCTGTACATATCCAAGTAGTACATGCATACATACATATGTACATAAACATCACCTACGCTCTTGCCACGTGCCCCAAAATGTCCGTCGCCCTCCTAAGCACCATGGCTCTTTGCGCGCAAAACAGGAGACTGGGCGTGAACACGCCCCCCTTGACGTTTGTCCAAGTAACCACTCTACATAATACCGACGTACTTACCACATCCATCCATACACTACGCACATGCGGTGCCACCCAGGAACCCCGTCAAGCACATTGGCTCGTTGCCACCAGCTAGAGCGGCGTTGCAAAAGCCCTCGCAGCCTCCTTCCATTGGCCGCTTCGCCCGCATGCGACTCCGCCACCCAAAGAACTACGTTTCACCTGCACAAACCCGCCTATCCAACAATTGCACCGTCCGGCCCCTCTTCGCGACACGCTGCGAGGCGGTGCAGCCATGCAAATGCGTACCATTTTGCCTCGCTCCAATTGCCACCGCTACTGCTCTTTTACCCACAACCTGAACCATCGCGTGCTCTCATACCCACCTATTATCTCTATCGCTTCTGTAGATTCAACACGGAGGGGGGCGGGAATGCGCGCCGCGGCAGCAAGGTATCTGAAAACGTCAAGTCCCAATTTAGCAGCATGATGGGCGGTGGGGCGACTGGCGAATCCCAGGTGGAGCCTGCGAAATTGTGCATACGCGTCGCATGAGGTCCAATGTCCTTTACCCAGATGTTCGGACAAACACCATCCAGCAGCTAGACGGGGATTTGTCGTCGTGCTGTCATGGACAAATAAATATGGTACTTTCTTACTAACACAAACATGTGTTCTGCAGCTCGTGGCCACCACGCGCTATGCTGACGCCCGCGCAACTGGGTCAACTGGGTGCAATGGGCAAAGGAGCGTCTCGCAGTCTCGAACTGCGCACGTGCCGCTAGTACGAAACAGGGCTAGCATCAGGGGTACCGCTGAGCCCTGGTGGATCTGTCTTGGGATGCTTGGTCGGCCTTAGATTTCTTCACTCGTTGTGCCTCAGAGCTGTTTCTTCACTCACTCTTCTGTTTTACCCAGTCAATCATTCAGTGTTTAAGTTAATTCCTTTTTGCATTCAGCTTTCTTTGCTGTTGCGCCACGCTCCTTGACCCATTTTGCGCATTACCAAACGCCCCAAGACGCGCGCCCTGCTCTTGATTCTCGGCGAACCAACCTAAGCTCTTGCCAACCCCAACCACGCATCTTGGAAAGACATCTTGTGCTCTCCCTATCGATATGCGCGGACTCATTGCGACCACGGCCCTGCTCGCAGGCGTGCAGGCGGCCGTTGACCCTATTGTCATCAAGGTAATAACATGTCGCGCGATTGGCTACGACACCAGTGGCTAACAACGCGCGAATAGGGGCAAAAGTTCTTCATGAAGAACAGTGGTGAACAATTGTAAGCAAACGCGCTCGCCACATCTATTCAAGCCAAGCTAACGCCGAGCCAGTTTCATGAAGGGTGTTGCTTATCAACGTAAGCATTCCAGCAGGCCAAGATCAGAACACAAGACTCACAACCAGCAGAGGAAGTAAACTCCAACACCACAGCCACTTCGACCGATGCTCTCAAGATCACCGACCCCCTCGCCGATTCGGCAGCATGCAAGCGCGATATCGCTATGCTCAAGAAGCTCAATACCAACACCATCCGTGTCTATGCTATTGACCCCAAGAAGGACCACACCGACTGCATGACCCAGCTCGCAGATGCCGGCATCTACGTCGTTGCTGACCTGTCCGAGCCTGGACTGTCCATCAACCGTGACGACCCCGGCTGGACTGTCGACCTCTACAACCGCTACACCAGCGTTGTTGATGAGATGATGAAGTTCGACAACACTCTTGGTTTCTTCGCCGGTAACGAGGTTAGCAACCAGCCCAACAACACCGTTGCCAGCGCATTCGTCAAGGCCGCTGTCCGTGACACCAAGGCCTACATCAAGAGCAAGAACTACCGTGAGATTGGTGTTGGTTATGCCACCAACGACGACGCCGAGATCCGTGAGAACATGGCCAACTACTTCGACTGCGGTGACAAAGACAGCGCCATCGACTTCTGGGGTTACAACATCTACTCCTGGTGCGGTGACTCTTCCTTCACCAAGTCCGGCTATGACGTTCAGACCAAGAACTTTGAAAAGTACAACGTCCCCGTCTTCTTCGCTGAATACGGTTGCAACACCCCTCGCCCCCGTCTGTTCACCGAGGTCAAGTCTCTCTATGGCAAGGACATGGTTGACACCTGGTCTGGCGGTATCGTGTACATGTACTTTGAGGAGGAGAACCAGTTTGGTAAGGCTTTGCTTCTGCTGAATTACTCAAGTTTGCATACTTACAATCTCCAGGTCTCGTTTCCATCAAGGATGGCAAGGCTGTGCCCAACGACGATTTCGACAACCTGTCTTCGCAGATTGCCAAGGCTACCCCCGTTGGTGTCAAGATGGCTGACTATAACCCTACCAACACCGCTGCTGCCTCGTGCCCCAAGGTCACCCCCGCAAAGTGGGAGGCCGAGTCCGACCCTCTCCCCCCTCCTGCCAACGCCAACCTCTGCTCATGCATGATGGAGACCCTCTCATGTGTCGTCGACGAGAAGACTGATGAGGAGGACTACGGTGACATCTTCGGCTTCGTCTGCGGCTTGAAGGACGGCCAGTACTGTGCAGGCATCAACAAGAACGCCACATCTGGTCCCTATGGTGTCTACGGTATGTGCTCCAACCGTGAGCAGCTCTCTTTCGCTGTCAACGCCTACGCCAAGAAGAACAGCGGCGGCTGCAACTTCAAGGGCAAGGCCACCACCCAGTCTGCCAACCCTAGCCCTACTGCTTCCGGCTGTGATTCGCTTCTCAAGGAGGCTGGTGTTGCTGGCACTGGCTCCGTCGCTGGCGGTGCCGCTGCTGCTGCCTCCAGCACTAGCTCCGCAGGCGCTGGCTCCGGCTCTGGCTCCACTGGCGCCGCTTCTGCCCTCTCCACTGACGGTGTCTTTGGTCTCGGTCTATACATGCTTGGTGCCGTTGCTTCAGGCATGGCTATGATCCTGTTGTAGATGAAAAACTCGGCATGAAAGAAGTGCTGTTTGATTGGGTTGTCGTTGGTTGACCTTGTCGTTTTCACATTTGCATTGTTTGCGTGGGCTTGCGCTTATTCCCATTTGTATCACTCGTTTCTCTATATCCAATACCGCCGTGTGTGGTCTGTCATGGAATGTCCTTTTTTCTGAAAGAAGTTGTAATTACGGGCATGCGTATCTGTATAATCAATGTAGATATGCACTGCAATTATAGACGCATCACAACATCACATCTGTACTTACATGCTATCGTCTCCTGATGTGTGCTGTCCTTTGTAATATTATTAATTTATCTGATTAGTATTCATTATATACTGGTAAACAACCGGTTTCTGTAGAGTGGGGACGCCTCTAGAATTCTAATTCCATCATCAACACTGAATACTTGCAATGTATTACAGACTTCACGTTTACGCATACACTGGAGGGGTAGCTGATGCGCCCGACATCGAACCACCGCCCCACTTCTTGACTGTATTTCTTAGTAGACTGACAAAATTCCCTGCTTTACTGTGGTCAGCCCAACCTTACTGTACCAACTAATTCACTTTTTATCCTTTCATTGGACATCGTGTGCACATTTGCATGTTGCGCAACTTAGTCTGCCCATCCACAGCTTCCACCTGCGTTGACGTCATCTGACTGACCTTGGAAAACGACCTCTCGAACAAACTTGGCTTGGGTCATGCCTGTAACGCCTCAAGCCCAAAGCATACAAACAAGAAGTCCACCGGCATATTCCTTTGGAGTTCTCAAGAGTAAGCAGGCGCCATTCAAGCACTCCAAAGACAGGATACCAGTAGATACATCGGCGCGCTAGGAAACTATATGCGCCTAGCCATCGACAGACACCATGAGCCAAACCACATCCCCAGCTCGGCCCACAGTTGATCATCTGCGGCATGTCGTCAACAACTATCCAATCATCGACAATCACGCGCACAATCTTATCCTACCTCAACATACAGACACAATACCGTTCGAAACCATTACTACAGAAGCTCAAGGTAGAGCTTTGAGAGACACGTTCAAGTCGCTTTCTCATCTACGAGCAGCTAAGCAACTACGCCTACTGTACGAGTGTGGAGAGGATGCGGATTGGGAAGAGATTCTCGAACAGAGAGTGGAATGGCTTCGAAGCAACTCGGAACGTTTGCACCAACGATGCTTTGAAAATGTACACGCATTGCTCATTGATGATGGCCTTGCTTTGCCAGACAAAGTCTTCCCTTACAATTACCACGATCGATATACCAAGGCACCTACCAAACGCATCGTGCGCATCGAAACTGTTGCTGAGCGGCTGATGGAAAGTCTTGTGCAGGATGCATCGGAAGACGACTTGGCGAAAAGCAAATTTCTGCCACAGATCTGGACCGACTTTACCGACGATTTTGAGAGAATAATTCAAGAGGCCGTAGATGACGAAAATGTTGCTGGTTTCAAGTCTGTTGTTTGCTACCGGACGGGGCTGGATATTGAGCCTGAATACGATGAAGCTGCAAAAGCAGTGGGCCACCCTTTCGAGCGCTACGTGAAGACCTGCATTCGTAAACGCAACTTTCGAATGGAGAAGAAGCCTCTGAATGACTATCTAGTGCTGCGAACACTCGAGATACTTTCTGAGAGGTTACCGCATCCCGATTCGCTTGCGAAACCATTCCAGCTGCACACCGGCCTAGGCGACAACGATATCAACTTGCTTGAGTCAAACCCTGCCTTTCTTCAGCCGCTGATAGAAAATTACCCACAAGTACCCTTTGTTATTCTTCACTCGGCATATCCATATACACGCGAAGCGGGCTACCTTGCAACTGTTTACCGACATGTGTACCTGGATATTGGCGAAGTCTTCCCCATGGTCAGCAGAGATGGTCAGAGAGCGGTCCTCCGTCAAGCCTTGGAGCTGGTTCCCGGTAGCAAGCTCCTCTACTCTAGTGACGGTCATTGGTTCCCAGAGACTTTCTGGCTTGCTAATGTGCAGTTCCGTGAAGTATGGCTCGAGGTAAGATGAACCACATGTTATATTGCACCTCTAGAGCATACTGATCAGGCTAGATACTCCTCGAATACATCCAGAGAGGTGATCTTACTCCTCACCAAGCCATTGGTATGACGAAAGACATCATGTTCAACAACTCTAATGTCCTCTATGACCTGCATTATCAAGCAGTGTTTGATGAGAATATACAGTTATCGCCGAAGCAGTTGACGTATAACACAAAGTCCAATGCACCAATCTCTCCATATCAATCACCAACTGCAACACCAGGACCCAACATACCTGCATTCGATCAGACTGCTGCTCCTCAGCGCGCCAGCGAGTCGGCTTCTCCTTACATGCCACCAAACTTTCCTCCGCCACCAAAAGTACCGCAAGTATACGACATCGAACTGTTTAAAAGCTTCATGGATAACAATCCAAATGTCAAGTTTATCTATGTACAATGGCTTGACTACACAGCCACGGTTCGGAGCCGTGTAGTCCCCATTAGAGAATTCACACGGATAGTAGATGAAGGCAAACGTATAGGTATCTCGCGAGGCACTACTGGCATTTTACAAAATGACGGCCCAACTTCCGTCATGAACACTACAGGTCAGATTTATGTTGAGCCTGACCTACGTTCGCTTTGCCGGACACACAACAAGGACCCTCTTCCAGCCGCTACGGTGTTTAGTTACTGGCGCTCAGAGAACGGCTCCGCTCTTCCAGAAGATCCACGTAACAATCTGGAGATACTTATCAACGACCTACAATACAACTACTCAGCCACTCTACTCATAGGGTTTGAGATTGAAGTCACATTCCTCCGTAGGAGCGCACCGTCGTCATCCACCAATGCCTCACAAGCAGAGCCATCACCACTAACAAAGACACATGCTTGGAGTACCATGTCGCCCGAACAGTGGACTCAACTGCCATTCCTAGGTGAGATTGTACTCGCGCTCGAAGACATGGGCATCGAGCTCCAACAATTCCATGCCGAGTCCGCCCCAGGCCAATATGAGTTTGTCCTGCCGCCGCAACCACCGCTCCTGGCCATCGACACCCTGATACAAGCACGACAGGCGATTGCACAAATAGCCAGTCTGCACGACTTGCGAGCAACGCTGCACCCACACCCATTCGAAGGCATAGGCACCGCAGCCCACGCGCACGTTAGTTTGCACCCCCCAGATCGCGACATGCAGTTCTTCGTGGGAGGAATATTGAGACATCTACCCGCCATCTGTGCATTCACCATGCCACAAGAAGATAGTTACGCAAGAGTGAAGGATAACTCTTGGTCCGGAGGATCCTGGGTACGTTATTCCTTCAACTCTTCCCCCTTTTTAGCAACTCAACAGAAAAAAAAAGAAGAAAAAATAATAATTACTTGTTCTAACGAATACACACAGGTAGCATGGGGTACCCAGAACCGCGAAACCCCTCTCCGCCGCGTTGAGTCGGGCCACTGGGAAATCCGCGCACTAGACGGTACCGCAAATATTTACTTTGCGCTCTCCGCACTGCTGGCTGCGGGTATCCTTGGTCTCGCGGCCAACGAGCCCGCTTCTGCGTTCCCCGAACGCGACATCTCTGTCAATCCAGCCAAACTAGATGATGAAGATCGCGCGGAACTAGGTGTGACGCAGATGCTGCCCAAGAGTCTGGGCGAGGCAATGGATGCGTTGCATAGGGATGCGGCGTTGCATGAGGCGTTGGCGCCGGGGTTGGTAAAGGATTATTTGGCTATCAAGGATGGGGAGAGGCGCATGTTGGGGTCCATGTCGGAGTATGAGCGCAGGATGTTTTTGATTGATAGGTACTAGAGGATGTGTAGACTTTTGCTGCTTTTACAGTAGATGGACGACTTCTCGAGATGAATGTAATTAGGGGGGGGGGGGGACGTTTGATAGTCATCAATTACATATGTTTTGTCATTTACTTTTCATCTCTCATTTGGACAACCTTCACACTGCTCTACAAACGGGTATCTCTTTCTACTCTCCTTTCTTTCTCCTCTCAAATCAACCCCAGTCCCTTCATCTTCCCCACCATGGCCTTTGCCTTTCTGTCTCCTCCCGCATCGTCATGCGCCCGCTTAGCATGTCTGATCAACTCGCCTCTCCAGCGCCAGTAACTACTCTCAATCTGCCTCGCTACATTCTCGCCCTCTACCCGTGCGACAAGATGACAGACCCAAATCAGTCTCCTTGCACTGATAAACCGATGTTCCATCATGGGCCGGATAATCGCAGCGCGCACCACGGCTTTGGTAAACAATGGGCCAATAGGCAGCGAATAGGTCTGAAGGTAGTTGTACATATAGTATATGGAGCGCCACGTCTCGCGATGGGAGCGCGTGGTACTGAGCGAGTAGAAGTGAGCGAGTTGGTGGATGAGGATCGTGCGGTCCGAAGTGGGTATGTCGGACGTGGTGGTTGCGTACATTTGCGGTAGAGCGTTGTTTGCGGAGGCGCGGTCGAGGATTGCGGTGAATTCGCGGCGGGCTTGTAGATGGAGGAGGTGCTTCTTCGTGTGGGCCAAGGCACTCGCAGTGGAGGTAGAAGAAGAAGAAACGAGTTTGACAAGAAGGTTGGTTATGCCCTGGCAGGTGCGTAGAGCAAAGGCGTAGTGTTGACGGGCTTGTTCGTTCATCGACTCGGTTTTGCGGGGGAGTGAGGCTGCTCTTTTTATGAACCGAGATTGTATGCTTGATGCATTTTCCAACATGAGTCCTCGCTGTTTCAGTGTGGACAAGATGCAGTATACGGACATCAACTCAGCATGGCGAGTGAAGGTATATACAGTCAGGTCTACCAAGGGTGTACAAGGCAAACCCTCTTTTTGCATACGAGCAAAGACAAGCCCCAAGAATGTTTCGAACTCCAGGGGTTCTTGAGACGTATGTATGGGAGCATAAATGAGCTGCAATGTCCTCTCCCTGTAAAAAGCGTACAGTGTTTGCTGTGTCAATTGAAATGTCAAGGCGTGAAGCAATACATGGCCTCGCATTCTGCCAGGATTGCTGTTCCTGAAGACATACTTGTTCACTGCTGCAATCGCAGTATCGAAAAAATCTGCACTAGATGCGCGAGAGGCTGAACGTCTATCGAGACCTTCAAGAACCGTTAACCATGCACTGAGGCGATGTTCATGAGCCCTATTCGGCAACCTGGTTTCCCGTGCGATATCCATGGCCAGAGATGTAGTAACCGATGGGACAAGCCATCGAAGTTGCTTCCGCGGAAGGCAAAAAAGAGTCATTTCCAAGGTGACACAGAGCTTATAGTCGGCGGCAACACGCGCAAGTAGTGTGATTGTGCTTTGCTGTACACTATTTGCGCCTGTGAGGATTGCGAGTAACGCCTCTCGAATGCCGATGTTTTGAATCTTGTCGGCGACCAAAGCCAAAGCTTGTGCTACAGAGGACTTGATCTTGTTGTCTGTTGAGAAAGCGCCTTGAAGTGCGAGCCGAATGATGAAGAGAAGCTCGGTGTCCTGTGAAGTGTTTGTCGAGATTGTGACAGATCCCGCTAACTCAACCATTCTCATCGATACCTCATGGTAGACTTTGGCGGCGTGCGAAAAACGCGCTGAAGATTTTTCTAAACAGTCGAGAAAGCTTTGGCTTTGCAATGTGTACATGGGAGGCAGCGCGAACGACTCGTGTTCCGAGAGAATGTTTGAAGGATCCCAACCAAGTTCCACCACATACTCTACTACCATAGTATTGTACATCCATGCATCGGAGTGGACTGGACAACAAGACTTCCAGGCATTGGCAAGGAGTCTGTTGCGCTCGGCAAAGGATAGGTCTCCTGCGGATATGACCTGGGATTTGAAGTTGTCAAAGCGGGCCAGGATATGCGCGCTACTTTGTTTGAAGTCTCCACTTGAAGTCCTAGCAGAAGCGTATTCGGGCTCATCAGAGTTTGGAAAGGCGAGTGGGTTGGGTCGGGGAGTCGAGGCTGCATGCGAATGTGAAATACGATCGAATTGAGGTACTTGGGAGCTTGGCAGCTGTTGATTCACTGTTAATTGTCAGCAGAGCACATTGAGTTTTTCACAGTACAAACGTACAAAGGTCCAATGGCTCGGTCCTGTGTTGCAAGGACGGCGCTTCATATCTCCAAGTGGGCTGCGACTCTTTGCGGAAGGCAAACAGAGCGCCGAGGTTGAAGAGCGATTGGAAGGTGTATTGAGGATGGAACCCCGCAGAGACAGTCATCCGGCGCTTGGCTGCCCTCCTTCTAGCCTCCAATGGCCCCGGGACGTTGCTGCCATGGCGTCTCTGGTGTGGACACGAGCTGGGGAAAAATGGAAGGAGGGCCCGGGCGAGGAGGTCGTCAGAGATCCATACGTGATGGGCAGTGGGCAATTGGAGCGACTGCACTGCTCTGCGGCAGGCAGCGGACGGACGGCGCATCAAGCGGGGTGGTGGTCATCGAAGTGGGCGTGCAGCTTGGTAGGCCAGTGAGGGCATGTCCAGATTGGGAAGCGGGCAGTGCACGTGACATTGATGACTAAGAGGATCGCGAGAATGGTTTGGTGGTTTGGTCTATGTGCTTACGTACATGCTTGCTTACGACACAGCTCATAACTACTACTAGGTGGATACAGAAAATGGGGTGTGCTTGACGGGAGGATGCGACAAAGCTGGGGAACTTTGACACGGTCTTGAGTCTTGGGATGGAGCTTGCCTGACTCCGTGGTGGTGCGCCTGTGTCTCAGGATACCAAGACGATTTGACGGCTGTCTAATGGACCCGTTGGCGGCACAGAGGCTGAGGCGCAACGGTTAAGCGGGGTGGCTGGCAGGCAGGCCGTGTGTCGGGTTCGCAGACAGGACGGACATACGTTGACTATGGATATAAGACGGGAAAAGCCATGGGAGTGGGCAGCACGCAGAGTGAGTGAGTATGTACATGTGTAAGTACATAGGTACGTGTATGAGTGCGTACATGTATGTGGGCGTATATGTACACAGGGTATGGGGGTGAGCAAGGACACGAGCCGGGCGTGCACGTCTAGAGTTCTCGGTGAGTGGTTGGGCCGGAAGAAGCGGGCAACGGGCAGCGGCGTGTACAGCATAGGATGTTCCGGGGGGTTAAATGAGCATGAAAGCGCCGTCAAGCCACCGCGTCTCGTTTGCTGCTCGGCGAGGCGACCATGGCGCACTCAGCAGTCAGTCGAGGTCCCAACAGTGGCACGAGTGGATCGCGCAGAGGTTCTCGGCCTGCAATCCAATGATCCAAGGGCAAAAAGCAAAGGTGAGCGACGACAAGGAGCCAACGTCGGTAGGCGTCTAGCCAAGGGCCGTCGTGGTCGCGGTGCAGGACCGCGCGGCGCCGTACATGGCACAATGTCAGCCCTCAGGCACACGCACCCCTGTCGACCGTGGCTGTTGGTGAAACGCCACTGGCTGAACTGCCAGCCAATAGCGGCCGCGTGCCTGGCAGCAGGTGGGGCCGGCTATTCCGTCTTGGACATGGCGCTGCACCGGCGGCCCTCGCACCACAGCGCCCGGCGAGCGGTTCTGCTGGTAGTGAGGAGGATAGCAACGGCAGGGAGAAGAGCAGTAACTAACTAATGTATGTATGTGTGCTTATGTGATGGCTGCAATAGCACTGGAGGCAGATGAAGGGGGCGCCTGGCAATCTGCGGCGCCCTGCCCGAAGCGGTGTCGTGGGAGGGTGCGGGTGCGTCTGACTGCCACTGCCGGCGCGCTAGCTGCCAAGGCTGGCTCCTGCTCTCCTGGCCCGGCGGTGCCTGCCCATGCCGACTGCTGACTGGGGGCGCCCTCTCCTTGCTTTGCTTTGCTTTGCTTTGCTCTTCACTCGCGATCCACTCCTGTCAAGGCCCGAGCCTCCTCTCGTTTGTCTGCTTCACCCGTCTGTCACTTACCATCGACATACATCCACAATCGTTTGACCTGACCGCTGCCCTCTACATCTCCCACCGCCCCTTCCCCCCGACTGTTTTCCTTCCTTTTGCCTACCGCCTCAGGGGTGCATTCCACGGGGCATCCGAACCGTTTCATCGACATCTGTCCTGTCCCTACGCCCTCGGTTTCAACCTCTCAAGGACGCCGCTGGGCATCGTTGACCGAGCCTGCTTTCTTGCCTGCCTGTACCCAGTCACCCATACACATACACAGGCACCACGTCGGCTATCAACAACACCCCATTTTCCATCGCCCCGTCACCCAAGTAACCCAATCAACCCACACTCGACCCTTTCCCCCCGTTCTCACGTCGCCCAGACGCCCATCGTCCAACATCAACCGCAGCCTCGCCCCCATCTCCGTCCATCAAACCCTCGACCGCCTCATCTAGCGGCCCATCCAGGCACTGCCTACTTGAGGCCTTGCATGTGTAGACGCCCTTGCGCAAAGGCCAAAAGTGCGACACTCGCACACAAGCACCCCTACGGTCAACCGACACGCCGTTGACCGGACCGCCGAAGCACCACTTCCATCACCACAGGACCAGCCTACCAGTCCACCACCATGGTCTCCTTCAGATTCGCGTCCGCTCTCGCAGCGGCTTCCATTGTCGCCATGGCCTCTGCCGATACTGGCACCCCAACCATCAAGAACCCCATCACAACACCCACCGTCACAAAGCCCGCCAGTGCCATGACCAGCATCGGCTGCTTCGAGACTGGCCTACCACTCGAGAACCACGGCTCTTACAACTTCCAATCACCGGGCAACTGCCAACTGGTCTGTCTGCAACTCGACAAGGACGTCATGGGTTTGTCCGACGGTGAAAACTGCTGGTGTGGAGACGAAATTCCTGCCAAAGAATGGCAAGTCAAGAACGAGACATGTAGCACCACATGTTCTGGTGATGACACCACTGGCTGTAAGTCCAATGTGCAAAAAATTACCCTTGTGTGCACCATGCTAATCCCTCGCAGGTGGTGGTAAGAATCTTCTGTGGGTTGTCCTCACCGGCAACACCAGGAACCAAGTCGACTACTTTCAGCCATCATCATCATCCAGCAGCAGCTCATTAGCACCAAAGACATCGAGCACTGTGCCATCATCCACTGCCGTTGCCAGTGCCACCGCCGTTCCGGTTCAGCCACCTCCACAGGACGACAAGCCCAACACAGTCGCCATCGCAGTAGGCGTCGTTGTCGGAATACTAGGACTGGCAGCCATTCTGTTCGGTGTTTGGTTCTTGTTGCGCCGGAGACGTCAACAACAGGCTGAAGAAGACTACCGTCGCAACGCCGCCAATGTTAACTCGTTCGTTGGCAGTGGCAAGCTGCACACGAGCAATTCGTCCATGAATGACTCTCGTCTGGACCCGAGCTTCATGGACCGAAGGCAGAGCAACGGCAGTATCGCAGATAACGAAGACTACTCGAGGCGGATATTGAAGGTAAGCAAGACGTGTCAGAACGCCCTCGTGAATACATGCTAACATCACACCAGGTGACCAATGTATGAGCGCCAAAATAAGACACACTGCGCACAACGATTGCGCTCTTCACCTCAGCCCTTTCCACGGTTGGAGTCGCTGACGAACAAAACCTCAATACCCTCGATACCGCACACACCTAATCTCCTTCACCTCATGTCTCGCACTACGGTGTGCGCGACCACGCATTGACGACGAGAGTAAGAATCATCTTGCGATTTAGCCCGTTACTATTCAGTATATGACGGATACACCTTGAGCCAGAATTGAACGAGGACAGGAAAGATTTGTAGTAGCAGAGTTTTTGTCCCTCTTCGTGTTATATCCCGATCCTTTTTGTTCTTTTTTTATCCTCTTTTTTTCCTTTTCCATCTGGGCGTTCGTGGGGTGTTAGATACCGGGCAATTGAAATGGGCAACTTTACAAACTTAACATTTGGCGCACATACATTGCGGGCACCAAGGTCCCTCCCTTATATTTTGTTCTTTGTTATACCGGACGGTAATCTTACGTCCACCACATTCCTTACCCCCCCAATCACCATTTCAAGGACATTAGTTTCTGTCCTGCCGCTCCTTTGTATCCCAAAAAATCAGCAAAAACCTAAAATCTCAAAACAGGCACGCCCACGTGCGCTGTCACCATGTAGTAGTAGCCGATCCAACAGGCGCCCAATAGTCTACTCTATCGTCTCGGCCAATACAAAAAATTCAAATCAACAGCAGGTCCTGTGGAACAGCAACATCATGGAGTGAAATATATGTGGTATGTGGATAGCTACGATTGGATACAGAGCGAGTACGGTGACTTTATTGATTACGTAGATTAGCCATTGGTGTGTCATAACACCAGTCACAAGACCGTATTCTGTTTACGAAACCCTTCTTTGACCCCTCTCGTATTCTTGCTCCCCACGCGTCTTTTTCTCTGCCTCCCTCCCAACTTCCAATAGAGTCCATCAGACCCGAACGCCGGGTCCACCCCCCCAATAGACAAGGCCGAGCCAGGAAAGAGGAACAGGGGGTAGAGTAAAAGCAAAAAGAAAGCCAAGGATTAAGACTTTCAGCTTTATGGGGTGGCTATGGGAAAGAAGGCAGAAAGGGAAACGCGGTTGGGGTTAGGTACACATACACGCACGCACGCACATGAAAAGTCGTCGTCATCAACCCGTCTTACTGTACCTGAACTATTGACATGCATGTATCCCTACAACGTACACACTACCGTAATTTGTCCCCATCTTTTTTTTCCTTGTCCGTTTCCCCATGTTTGTCCTCTCTCCCTCTCTGTCTCCTTTTTTTTGACATTTTCTAAAGATAAAAATAGTGAAAAATCGATAAGATCAACATTTCTATTGCCCTGGTTCGCTTGGTTCTTATAGTATAGGGAATCTTGATAATGTTAAAAGTAGATATACATCGGGTATTAACCCGGGACTAGTAACTAAGATGATGATGATGATGATGATGATGATGATGATGCGCGCGGCGTTGTTTTTTCGCGCGCGTTCGTGCGTGTGTTCCCTTTTTTGTTGGTTCTTTGGGACTTGGTAGTTGGGCCGTTTGGGAGAAGAAGGGGTGGGAAACAGATTTACTACCCACGTGTGTTGTTAGCCTTGGGCTGGGGGAGGCTAAGGGCAAGACTTTCGGGGTTATGCGTTGAGCAGGTGCTTGGGGCTGTGTGCGTGCGCGCAAACGCGTATGTGAGGCTTAAACTTGGGGAGAGTTACGACTTTGGGAAGGTGGTTTGGGGTTAGAGGGTACGTGGACATGGGTTGCGCATGACGTTGTTTGAGGCGGAGGAAGGGAGGGGGATTTTTCTCGGTCTTGGTCTTTTTGGCTTGGTGAGAAGGTGTAGAGTAGTAAGGTGCGAACAAACAATACGAGGGAAAAACGCAGGTTACTGGTGAGGAATGAGTTTGGGGGAGGGGAATGGGTTTGGTGGGCGCGAGATGGTGTCAAGGGGTGTGAGATCAAACGACCGTGGTTACCGGGCCTTTTGTTCCCGTTTCTTACATGTCATCATTGGGTGAAGGGCAGGGCTAGATGGTTGGTAATCTTTTCCTCTTCATCCTCCCTTTCAATCTTGGTGACATCTTCCGCCAATCACTAACTTTGTGTTGCACTCTCTGTCTCTCCCCTGTCGCCGGCTTTTTCTCGCTCAGCCCTGAGCATATCATTCGCATCTACCATGGTTCATTGCGACATGAACTTGTTTCGTCATTGTCACTTGATTACCCCGTTTCAACCCCAACCCACTCACCTCTCCTACCACATAGTAGAAACAATCCAAACCATATCCCACGAAACAGGGTGAATCCAGTCGGGAAGCCCATCCTTAGTATCCCACAAGTACACCACCCCATAATTGCGTGACACCACGCCCTTTCTCGCTCCCTCCACACAAACATCTAATCTCCCCCCCCCCTCAAAAAACAAAGAATCCAGACCCTCCAATCATCCACCCTACTTTCGCAAAAAATTCCTTACACAGCAACTACCCTCTCTCCCATCACCCCATCCAAAAGCCGCGCACAGCATACATAAAGGTCTACGTAACCACCCCCACCACCCCAGTAGTCTAGTAGTGGCTGTGCAGAAAACACCGCACTAAAACACACCTACTAGCGCCTCACATGGGCCAGCCCCAGCTACTCTTTTCCTGTCCTAACTGAACATAAGAGGGGATGTGATGAAAACAACTATTTTATTCCCAAGAGATCGAGACACCCACTGTAATTCTCGCTACAAGGGAAATAAAGGATAGCTTACTTAGTGCAATGTTTCGCCACACACACACACACACGTGAGAATAAATCGGTGGTTGTGCGGAGATTAACACTGGGGAATTCTGTTTTGGCTACTAGACCAGGGGCGATATGCTATTGTGGCTTTTTGTGCTACCAAGTAAGTAACTGTGCAACGTAACAAGTAAGCTTTAAGCAGTGGTGGCTGGTTCAATGAGATACCACTTACTATATGTAGCAGTAACTATGGGTTATGGCTTGTCGAGTTTTACTTACTAGAAACCCACATGGGGTTGGGGGTTGGGGGTTGAGAGGTAGAATAGAAGCATAGTTAGTTTGCAAACGAGGCTGCAAAACCCTTACTCTCTCTCTCGCACACACACATAGACTCTCTCCTATCTCGTACTTTGGAACAAATCACAAAAAAAAGGGGTGGCGTGAGGCGCAGGCGGTGGCAGCTGCAGCCTTACCGATACTGCACTACTATGCATACCGCATCGTTTTCTCCTTATACACAACTTCGCTCATGTACATTAGTACGGACGTTACGGAATTCCGTTTTTTTTCTTCGCACACGCACACGCACGGTACAATTCTAACATGCACAAAACATACGTTTCTTTCCTATCAATCGAAAGGGGCCTTGTGGCATCGGTGCTTACTGCGTAGTTATACTTTTTTTTTCCCTTCTTGTTTCTACAGATTCAGACTCGGATTCGCCTTTCCTCTTTGTTCGTAACCCCCCCCCCCCCCACAAGCAATGGGTTTCATCTTGCGCTTCTAGAACAACATGGTCGTCACACACACCCCACCCCTATGACGATGATGGTGAAGGAAGACGATGAGAGATCTGAGTAATGGCGCATAGCAAACATTGCGGGTGAATTAATATAAGTTGCGTTTACCGAAGCCGAACACGAAATGGCTTGTGTTACAGAAAGTGCAAGGTTTTTTGCGGGTAACTTTTCCTTTTCCTTTCTTTTTTCCCTTTTTGGGTTATGTGTTTCATGAGGCGGGGGTTGGATTGATTCAGTATGCTAGATGGGTTCTTAACGCATGATTTTTTGCGTGACTCTTGGATAATATCTCCGTTGCAACCTGAAGTTTGAAACTCCGCTTTGTGTTACCGTCCGTTGGGGTATTGACTCTCGAACTTGTAGTTGGAAAGAATTGACGCATCCAAGTTTCAAGCATACTCATTCTTGAGTCAGAAGGGCCTGTATACATTCTTACACGGGGGTCTGTAAATGACTTGTAGTAATGCACATGAAAACCAACGAATGATTCAATTCCAAAACAAAGACATACAAAGCTATCTAGAGGGGGAATATCGCATAGGGTATCAATGGCACGAGGAGAGCGGAAGAAGAAAAGTCCGCAACGAGCGTGTAAAGCTCTCGCTCAGAAACGAGAAAAAGGTATCACAAAAACAAGGTTGCCCACAGAAAAGACCGCCTGGGTGTATCCCATACCCATACCCTTGGCCATAAGCCTCCAGTCCCAAAACCATTCCCAGCCTTGTACCATATACCTGTAGTCCCAATCGTGTATTTCGTCATCCATAACCCAGTCAATATACTCATATACATGATACAATCAGTCGTATCCTAACGATATCCTAAGCTACTGCGTTGTTGCAATACCATTAGGTACCCTTGGGGTGATTGTGGCATCACTGATACTGGTCCTCGGATACTGGCCCGGAACATGAAGATCGCTAACACTGAAGTCGGTGCCTGTCCGCTTGACCATTCCAGGCTGTACCATCTCCTCAGCAGTGTCTACCAGCTCAACAGGAACAGGGCCGCCATTGACAGTCTTGCCAGAGGTAGGGGCGGCGCCTACCTCAGACTCGCCTAAAAAAGACGACGTAGTGACTGGTGTTTCAGCACCGTTGGTTTGCTGAGGATGGGTCTGATTGTCCATGATGGGAGCAACGATTGGTGCAGATGTTGGTTGCACATTGGGCGCAACGTAACCGGTATCATCGATTTGATCAGGCCTGATCTCACCAGAGTATTGCTCATGGACGTGGGCAGAATGATCTTGTGAATAATTCATGGTCTGAGACTGACCGTTCAATTCTTGCTGTCGAGCTTCTGCGTGTTGCTGGGCCAGTTGTTTCTTCCGGTATGCTTCATTTGCTAGGGCTACAGTCGCTGCTCCTCCAGCGGCGGGTGCAATCCAGTTACCATAGTTGTTACTATCGTGACGTTGAAGGGGCTGGTCGTTTTCAGGGTAGATTGGATAGTGGCTCTCAGATTGGATAGGTTGAACAGGATA